AAATACTAATAATGAAAATATTGAAAATATTTTAAAAAAAATAGAAAATAGTATAAATAATAAATTTGAAATACTATATAAATTTTATTAGTTTTATTAGTTTTTAAAAAAATCTGCAAAGTATAAATAATTAATTTTATATAAAGAAATAATTTATTTATCGCACGTGCGATGCAAATTTTTATGTTTATCATTGCCATTTTAAGGGGGGTGGCGATGTATAAGCAGGTTGATCAACATAAATAATTTACAAAAAAGGAAAGTGGCGATGCATCGCACGTGCGATGAATAAATTTACTCTTATATAAATAACTTATATAAATATTTATCTGATTTAATAAAAATCTAGAATAATAATAAAAATTAAAAAGTTATTACTAATAATAATTATATGGTAAAATTTACAAAGATTATAAAAATGAATATAAAAATATTTTTAATTGAAGATATAAGTAATATATAATTTTAGCTAAAATTAGAATTTTTATAATTGAATGAATTATAGCATCTTAAATTATAATTATGGCATTCTGAAATAATTTAGATAGCATATATATAATGAAGATTTTTTTGCAGTAATAATACAAATTAATTATACATTTTTCTTATTTGAATAATATAAATAATTATATCTAAATTCTTTATAAATTTTATATGATATATTGCAACTTTGTGAATTACAGATTTACATAATATATTACAACTTCATAAATTATTCTTATCTTTAAAATAATTGTGACATATATATTCATTATTAGAATAAATTACTAGTTATATAAAAATATAAAAATAGTAATTATAAAACTTATAAAATAATATAAAATTTTAAGTTTATATAAGGTGTTTGAACATAGGTCATGTAAAATATAATGACATCAATGTCATACCCTTTTACTTTTTTTATATAATATATGTATTTTTAACTGATTTGCAAGTTTATTTAAAGCATTAAATGGGTTTTAAATACCATTTTTGACTTATATATAAAAAATTGTCTTTGATGACTATTTCCTAAATTTTTTTTAAGAATAATTAGCAAAATTAATTATTCATAAATAAAGTCAAAACTGACATTCAAAAGCACCTTTGATACTTTAGATAAACTTGTAAAATAGGTAAAAATCCATTTATCTACTAATTTTGAAGTTTATATTTTTAGTTAAAATAACAATAATTATATAATCCAGATTCAAACTAAAGTTACCTGCCTAAACCTCTCCAAAATTCTATGATTAGTTTCTCCAAGATTTTACTATAATTTTATTATAGTTTCGGCAAGGTTTTGGCAATTTCAGCATTTATAATAAGTTTCGTCAGGTTTCACTTTTCTCCAGAGTTTCGCCAACTTTTTAATAAAACTTTCATATAGTTTCAGCAAAGTTTTGGCATTTCGGCATTTTGCCAACTTGCCAAAACCCCCTAATTTCTCCAGCAACCTTAATTCAAACACCTTGTGTTCAAATAGAAATTGCAATATAATATTGTAATATATAATATATATTTTTATAAAATTTTATTAAAATTGGCTATTTATTGCTAATGTTATAATTCAGATGATTAACGGATGGCCAATTTATTCAAATATTTCCTATCTATTTTTGGAAAGAGATAACTACATTTCCTAAATTATATATTGGCTATTAGGGTTTATATTTAACATTATAGGATAACTTAAAAAAATGAATTATTCTATTGACTAAATATTAAAAATGAAATATAATTCAAACAGATTGAATTTTATTATCTATATGGATGAATATTTCTGATTTTTGATGAGTTTTCATTTTCTAATTTATTTTTTTTTTTTATTTCTGAAGGAGATATTTAAGTTTATTAAATTATATATTAAGATATACTTACAAAATATCTCAAAAAAAAATTATTCCTTTATTAATTGATTGCATATAATTATTAAAATGTGATGATTTATTAATCATTCAGTTCATAACTCTATTTATTGCTTTAGATATTAAAAGTCAAAATTAATCACAATTTATATTAAAAAAGTCATATTTGTTAATAAAACAATTTTTTTTAATAATTGCAAATAATAAGGTATTGTTAATTAATATATATATATAAATAGATTTATATCTTTTTTTTTTAAAAAAAAAAAAAAATTAAAAAAAGAAAAGAAAAATGTATTTTACTAAAGTTTTACAAAATTCTGTATTAAAAAATGCAAAATTTAATCTATTTCAACCTTTGTCTTTAAAAACAAATTACTTAACTTCCAATTTGTCTAATTGGAAAAATAAAAATCAACCTTTACTTTTAAATTACTCAACTTTTAATTTGTTTAATTGGAAAAATAAAAATCAACCTTTATTTTTAAAAACAAATTATTCAACTTTCAATTTGTCCAATTTGATAAATAAAAATACAAAAGTTCAAACTTTTTTTTTTTAAAAAAATTATTCATTTTTAACATCATCTCCAATTTCTAATAACTGGTCTACTCAAAAATATAAAAATGTTAAAATTAATACATTTCAAACTTTACTTTTAAGAGAATATTATACATTTCCTTTTTATATGTGGAGGAAGATGGTTATTGATCCCATTCTTTTAATTATTAATTTTACTGTTATTGGTGCCTTTATTACTACTACTTTTACATATTTAACTAGATCTATTTGTCTCTATTTAGTAATTGATAAATTTCTTTATCCCTATATAAATCGGACCAATAAGCGTAAAATTAATGAAAGAATGGAAATTGGGACTAGACCTGAAATGGATATACCAGATAGTAAATTTATTTCTCGACCTGAAATTGCAAAATATTTCGAGAAAATTTTTCAACCAGGTGAAGATCAATCAAATTACCATATTATTTATGGAAATAAAGGAAATGGAAAGACAACATTAGCTAAAAAAATGGCAAATGAAGTTGGACAAGGAGTTATATATGTTGATACTCCTTATAATATTGAAAATTTTGAAAAATCATTTGGAAGTATACATGATTTCACATTTAAAGAAGATAGTTCATTTTTATTTCAATTGATACAGAAATTTTTTGGTAAAAAAGTTTTTGATTTAAACTTATCATTAACTTATTATTAATAATTGTTGCTAATAATCATTAATACTTTTTGCAGATAAAGCAGGAGTTAATAAAATTGATAAATTGAAGAGAGCATTGAATGCCTTTACAAAAGCCGCAAAGATATACAAAGAACAGTATGACAACCCGCCAGTTATTATTTATGATAATATTGATAATATAGATCCAAAAATTCTTGAAATTCTTCAAGATGATGCAGAGTATAATGCTAATAACGGAACATATATTGCAGTATTTATTTGTGGTGGTGAAAAATTTACTCAAATATTGCAATCATGTAAGTAATGAAATTTAGAAATACTGAATTTATAAGTATAACTAATAATAATATATATATATGTATATATATTTTTAGCACGAAAGTCACATATATTTGAAGTTGAAGACCTTAATAAGGATGAGTCAGTGAATTTTTTGATCCAAAAACTTAAGATTAGTCCTGAAGATGCGGATAAAATTTATGGATTAGTTGGAGGAAATATTAGGGAGTTGAAATTTGTAGCAGAAAGATTAAAAAATGGAGAACTTCTTGAAGGTAAAATTGAATTTGATAATACAGTATATATTTTTTAAAGCACATACATGATTTTACTCTTTTTATACAGATATAAAAGAGAATATCTTACTTGAAGTTGAGAAAAAATTCGATATTGCGAAACTTGATTTAACTCAAGAAGGGAGGAGCATCATTGGCACATTGCTTAAATCAAAAGAGGTTGGCTATTTAGAATTTAAGAAAGTTTTCGGGAAAGTTGAAGGATTTAACGGAATGAACATATTTACATACCATCATAAAGCACGTAGCGTAACATTCCAATCTCGTCCAATAGAATTATACATTAAGAGTAAGTTTAAGTTCCCGCAATACATTGCGGAGAGTGCCAACGAGTACAACTTTACTACGTAAACAGAATTAGAAATGAAGCCGCATGATTTTTATTTGTGAATTTCTGAAGTGATAAATAAAATAAAATCAAAGCAAAAAAAAAAAATCTTTTGGATCATTGTTTTCTAAACATTTTACCGTAACATATACTGTATAAAATCTGGATGATAAAAAAACACTTCTTTGGAAGATCTACAACATATAAAACCATTGATTTTTCCCAATTACGCACGTTTTGTTAGCCGCTTTCCTAAAATATATTATGTTACCAAATCTAAATGACAAATTTTGATTAGCATCGAATTAATCATAAAAACATTTTTTAAAAAATTGTATATAATCGACAATCTCTCGATAAAGTAAAACAGGTTTTAAGTTACATTCCCCACGAATTGCGATCTATTTTTAAAACAATCGTACACAAGTGACTAATTGTTTATTTCCTGTGCTTCTTAAAGTGAAATTGTACGATATCTCATAATTAACTTTAACGAGCATTAAAAATTCTAATCGATAATGAATTTCAGAAAAAGATTTATTGAAGTAAAAAAGAAAAAGAATTTTTAAGTTTAATAAAATAATAAATATTTATAATATAAGAAAGAAAAAAATGTCGTATTATTATTTGTAACATTTGAAAAAGTTAAATGGTCCGGTAACGGTTTGAAATATTTTTGTGATACAATTATAAAAAGCCAATGTGTTTATTTAGGGAGGTAACATTTTTGTACATATAAATTTATAAAGGTAAATCCGTTCAAAATCCGACCCTTATCAGATTAATAATAGTACTTAAAATGTTATGCACAAATTAATTATCCAATTAATGAAAACGTGAATAAGAATTTATAAATGGAAACTATTCCGGAATTTCACTATTTACATCTATTTACATCAATGGGTGCATTAATGAAGATCATTACATTGCCAGTTTTTATTGATTTTTACGTAATATTCTAAAAAACGAAATGGAAAAAAAAACGATATAAATATAATTATAATTAATTGCAAAATATTTTTTTTTTTAATAATTTTAATATAATATTTTCTTTCTTTTTTTTTTAAGAAAAAAAAAACTTTCTTTAATTATTATTACGAACGTATTATTTATATAAGATTTTTTCTTTGTTTTTTTTAGAATTCATTTCTTTGTCCCATTCATAATTCATATTTTTCATATCGTATTAATATTCCCGCAATTAACTACGGTTTCTCTATAAAAAAATGTCACCTAATTCACATTTTAACTTTACCCCATCATTACCGTTATTACCATTATATTATATAATGATTATATTTTGTGCAATAGAAAGCTTGTCCGCTTTCTCATTATTATTATATAAACGTTTTCATGATAATTCTCTTTTATGGAGTGATCGAATTTTTGAACCTATAACTGGTTTCCTTCTTTGGGTTGTTCTACATTCTTCATGTGAGTTGTTTTGAAAGAAAGAATTCTTTATTGTTTTTATAAAGTTTAATAACAAGAAATTTGATTTAATTTTTAGTTAGAATTTGTTATTTAATATTTGTTGCCTTTAATTTAATGCCAAATGCTTTTATATTGAGAAGTATTATAAACTTTTCGGGCTGGGCTTTTGTTCAATTCGCCATCGCAACATATATTGCAGGAATGTAAGTACAAAATTAATTTACTACTCCTCTCTTATGAATTCTTATGCTAAAAAATTTTTCTCTATTTAGATTTAAAGCAATACCAAAACTAACCTTTCATCGACAAACGGCTTGTAAACAGGCAAAATTCATTCCAGCATATCAATCAGTTTTATTTATTTATTGGATATTTATTATAACTGTTGGATCGTTAATTTTTGTTCTTTCATGTTTAAGAGGTTATTTTCAATCAATAAATGAACGGAATAGTTTTGTAATATCTCAAGGAATTTTATTAATTATATTAAGTATTTCAAACATAGTTTTTAACTTATGTTTGTTTAAGTATGGAAGATTGTTGGTTGCTTTAACTCAAGAGAGTGTTAAATTGACGAATGGAAGAAATGAACCTTATAATGCTTATCTTAAAAAGGTAAATTAAATAAGTTTATTTTTAACCTGTTTTAAACTGTTTTAAACTTTTTTTTAACTTTTTTTAACTTTTTTTAACTTTTTTTATACTTGTAGTTAAAGACAATAAACTTTGCTCTGATGGTGATCGTAAGCTGGTCTTCTATTTCTTTTTTATCATGGGCTATTTGCTCTATTAAAGTCAAAGCAAATTTTGATTTACCAACTATATTGAGTTTTATAACAAATAATTGTTATGTAATTATGATAATGGCTGCTATTATTGGTATTATTCGTGGGTGAGTTTTTGAGTAATTAATTCATTGATTTTTTGTGCATACTTTATACTTTTTTATACTAATTTACTCTTTGGTTTTATAGTCAATTATATCCAAAAGATATAAATGATGCTGATATGAGTTTAAGTACCATTTCAAATGTAAGATGGTCTCAAAGTTCCATCGTACAAACTAATTCAACGATTGAAACATAAAAAAAAAATTTACACAGTATATATATATGTAGGTAATATACTAAAAATTAGGAGTATTCTTAATGAAAGGACTTTTTTTTGTAAATAAATTCAATTATCATCCTTTTAAGAAAAAAAAAAAATAAAAAATAAATGAAATAAAATAAAATAAAAATATCTTAACATTAACCTTAGATTCTTGTATACAAGATACAATTCATCTTATCGTTACGGAATTTCGGAAATTTTAGGAATTTCAGTATTAGGTTATTTGATTTGTTATTAATAATTCGTTATCTGATAATACAAGATCTTTTTTATTATGAAAAAAAGATAAAAACTCGGATGTACAATACGCGTTTAATAAGGTTTTAAAATGGTAAATAGTGCAAGTTGATTAACTTTGGATAAATAAAAACATTTTTTTTCTCCTAAACTTGGCTATTGTGCATACTGTTTTTGATGTACTAATTTTAGATAATAATTTAATATTGCACAAAAATATCTCGCAGACATTTTTGACTTATTACAGCCATATATTAATATCATTTTTATGATCTCATTATTTATCCATACTCAATTAACTAATATTTATAATTGTTAATTGAGTTTTCCTTTATTTTTTTTCTTTTTATAATATAAATTATTAATCGGATTTGTAAGATGTTTCAAAGTTAAAACGGACATTTTACCATTTCTGATATTCGCATATTCGTTTGCATGAGACTAAGTGCTTTTTATCATAACTTTTATTTGATGCAGTATAACCAATCATTCTAATGTATATCAAACTTTCGGCTATTATTTATTTATTTTTTCCTGTTGCATGCATATTATGGAATTTTGCAACAGACTATGAATCAAAAATAAAATGACTGCAAGTTAAATAATTATATTTATATATTGTTTTGGTTTGTGTAGAAATAAATAGCAAATAAATCGGGAATTTTTTTTCTCCCTGACTGCGTTTCAAAAACTGGTGCTCACGTGATTTGACTCTCTTTTTTTTCCTCGGAAAAAAATAAGTTAGGTACGAAGGGTTTCGATCAACCTCCAACGAACAATAATATATAATTCATGTAGGTAATGTGATATTAATGCCTCAATGGAAAGAAAAGATTTTCTTTATATACCTCAATGAATATTCCAGTAAACTTTAACTATACTTGGTAAATGAAATTATATTTAGTAAATAATGCTTTTTATATAATATTTAACACTTATGCTTTCTTTCTTTCCTACTTCTATATCGTCAAATTTCATTCAAAAATACATTTATGTTATATACCGCCGGTAAATAATAGTTATTGGGTAGGAATATCCCCCAAAACTGCAAAGCAGTTCGGATGATATTTTAACCACCATACCTAATAACCAATATGAAAAGCATAGTAAACATGTGATAATAGTCTATATGACGTAATGCGTCAAAAATATCAAAAATATTTACGCAATAATAATTTATCTAAAAAATATAAGTATGTTCAAAACAACATGATCCTAATTTGGCTGCATAATAACTTTCAATATCAGTTGTGTTATTTAATATGAAGATCAATTAGGATTATCCGTTGATATTAATGTGAATCCGAATAATCTGGATATTAATTGGATAAAGTCCGGATATTCGGATATTCGCAGATTCACTCGATTTTCTTATAAATTTAATAACTATACATGCTGCTTTTTTTAGAAATTAGATAGGAAATTACTGTAAAACGCAAATCATATTAATTAAGGAAAGTTTCAATTAAATAATGATAACTTGTATAAACATTGTTGTTTGGAACTTAACCAAATGGATAATTAAGATTAATAGATGAATGTTGTTGCACACATGCCTCTGACAAATATTTGCGACCTTTGGAACAACCCAAAAATTGATTTTCTTGCTTTATAATCAAGAATCTATGCTTACTGTCTTTTCCTTGGGATCGCTAAATGGATAGTAATAAAGCAGTAATGACTAATGAAATTCTGGATTGGTGAAAGTATCTTAAATTATGAATTAATGCAATAGTAAGCTAATATGATAAAGTTTCAAGTAATCTTAGACACCATCCTGTTAGAATAGCTATCCTACTTATCTATTAGATATATTAGATAGTGTTATTTTAAAGATTATAAATATGAAAGTGTTGAGTCCTTTTGGAATTCTTTTATAAAATACTATTGGTAATTTTATAACAAGCAAATTTAACAAATTTAGGGACTTACTAATAATTCATTTTTAATTATAATTCTGAAATTTTTAATATCAAAAGTATAATATTTTATAATAGTAATAATAAATAAGCTTTTTTATTAATAAAGTTAATACAGTCATCCTCCCATATAATCACACCCTTTGGAACCAAAAAAAATGGTGTGACTATAAAAATTATATATGATGTGATTAAAGGGAAGGCTTTTAATTAATTTAAATGTGCTAATAAGTAATAAGGGAGTTGTGATTATACAGAGGGTAGTGACTATATGGGAGGATGACTGTACATTACTTTTCTTTAAAAATGATTATTAATTTTATATTATTAAGAATATTAGTATTATAATAGAACCTATTATTATAATTAATAATTTAAGCAATTTAAATATAAATTTAACATATTAATTTTATACTTTTAAAATAAAGTTACTAATTTGTAACTTGTATTATATTAGTAATTAAAGTTTTCATTATGCATTTTTTAAAATTTTTATTACATCATTTTATTAAATTCTTTATTAAGAATAAATGTGTAAATTTTAACAAAAATTTATAAAAAAAAAATTTTTAATATACAATTTTTTTTAAAAAATATATAATATATGTATTTTTGCCTACTCTACAAGTTTACTTAAAGTATTAAAGATAATTTTAAATGTTATTTTTGACTTATTTAATACAATTTTTTTTCAATTTTTTTTTTATTAAATTATATAATATATTTAATTTTAAGAGCTCGCAAAAAAAGCCATCCAGCGTAAACGTAACAATAAGAAGATTAAAGCTAATAATGCTAAAATTTAACAGAAAGGAATTATTAAGCAATAACGAACCACTGTTTCTGCTATTAACTTAGTCACCAAAAAAATTGATGAACTAGCATCATATAAACGTTAATGTAACTTTTCCAATAGTAATGACATTTCTAATGATGATGCTGATGACAAACTTTCTAATAAGGATGCAACCTACGCTTCTATACTATCTAGAAAGGTCAGAATATGCTCTTCTTCTCCTAGCTATAGGTGATAAGCCCAAGCTTAATGTTACTGTGAGTATTAAATTTTTTATCCTAATATGGCAGTAATAAATCATACTAAAGTGCTCTGTGAAATTTGAAGAAATACTAGGATGAGAATTCATTATCTAACTCAGAGATCATACCTGTTAACCTTAATAACAAGTTACAAGATAGTATACTATATGATATAAAAGATGTGATCATTAATGATGGGTAAATAGTTGATGAATCCAAAGAATTTAATACCAAAAAGCAGGGAAAGTAAATAGTTTGAATTATTCTGAAAGAGTAAGTACTAATTATGTTTATTAATTATCATGATAATGCTTTTGAAAAATAATTTTTTACAATACAGTCAATACAGGCAAAATTGTCTAATATCTCATTTGATGAGTATATTAATTCAGCCATAAGTGTTGAGGATGAGAAAATAAAATTTGATCTTAATGATATTTCAATAGAATTGCAATACGAGCTAGCAGTTAAAGTATGTTTCACGTCAGATTTTTGTTTATATTTTGTGCATATCTCAGTTTTCTTTTTTTTTTAGTGAAAAGTCAGTGATATTAATGTAACAGATAAATTTTAGAATTATCAAAAAGATGTACTCAGAAAAGTGAAACAAGAAAGTCTAAATTACGAAAATATTTACGAATCTTTGTAAGTATTTCTAAAGTATAACATTCATATTTATAATGATTAATTATATCAAGATTTTTAAAATTTTTCATCATTTCATTTAGAGCATTATCATCAATCATGGTTTTCTGTTGGCCATGTCTATATCCTAAGATATTTACGAATTGAGAATGGGCAGAAATTACAAAATTAAATTCATATACCATTAAAAACTCTCTGCTTTCACAAGAGATTTCAATGTTTCTTCATGAAGCAACTTGTAACCATTTCATTAGTGAAGATATCTTTATGAATGGTGGAAAAATGAAGCTAAGTAGAGATGTAATATGCTTATTCAATAATTTATAAGTATGCTTGTTTCATCATATTTTGTTTGCTATCTACGAGTTTGTGGTTCACAAAGTTCTTTCTCTGATACATTACACAGATATAATGGCTTACTAATAGTTTCATCAAACATAATGGAAAAAATAACAGAAGAAGAGTACTATTACATGGTTCTTTATCCAATTATAAACTCTTCTTTTTTGATCTACTAAGGGAGTACAAACTTGTCTTAAATTGTGTTATACCAGAGTCAAGAAAAAGGCCTGACTTTTTTTATGTAGTTAATGATATTACAATTCTCAATTCAAAAATAAAACTGCTAAAATGTATACTACTCCAACAAAAAAAGGACATCATGAAAGCACAGTTGCAAACCTGCAAATTGATTAATATGCAATTATAAAGAAAAGACAGTTTGGCTGAAGTTAATATATTTTTGAATATAAGTATATTCTTACAAAGAAGTTGTTATATTTTATAGTATGTTATTGAATTAAAATTTTGTGATAACTAGGTAAATAGATGGAATCATTTTTCATGAACTTACAGTATGATGGATTTTACCATTTTTGGCTATTTCTTACAATAAAGCTGCCAGTTGAAAAGACTTCAATCCTATTAGTAAAGTTTGCGATTAGTCATGTTATTGCTTTGGAAGTATGTGATATCTTTGCTTTGAATTTATAATGAAATAATTTTCATAATTTTTACCTTTGCAATGTAGAAACACATTGTAAAGCTTGCAAAAAACTACAAATATCGAAATAATCATAAAAATTGAAATGGTCAAACTATACCACCTACATCTTTCATATGTAGATTTCCAGATATTTCACAAGTAAATTGTTATTTAAGTGATAAGAATTTTAGTCAGAGTAAAATTAATGCATTTTCTTCTGATAATTTTTATATCTCTATATACTTAATATGTTAAGAAGTAATGA